CATATTCACGAGCAGCTGCTGGAAATATTTCATCCAAGTTTCCAGACATCATGTATTGGAGTAGCCAATCGGAGAAAGCTCTTAGTCTTGGACTAATGGAATAGGTTGTCGTGTCAATAATTTCTCCAGTAGTCCCTGTTGTAAACTAAACATCAATAACTTTTCTCCTTAACATTCTGTTTAGCAAATGAGGAAATTAGCATTAATCTTGTTGTCAAAGACTGCATGGATGAGGCCATTTTGCTTTATGATGTTCAAAAAAGAATGCAAAAGGAAAAGGTTTGCAATGAAATGTGGATAAACACTTCATTCAGACAGCGCAGACCTCCCAGTTATCTTTTTATATATTCAAAGAAAAGCAATTACCAGAAGAAGTTGATTCACCAACATGTTGTTCGTTACTTTTTTTATACAAACTCTCTTCAAAAATTTCTCGCGCCTCTAGTATGATACCGAGGTACCTATACAAGTTTCTTTGAATTACCAGCTTAGTGTTGTGAAGCTCGGTTTCAGAGAAAGGAACATCATACAGAAGCCTGGCCTGCAATATAAATGGTTCAGTCTAAGTGTCACAAAACTCAAGCCTTCAACATAAAAATTACAGACAGTTATTCAGATGTCAGAGAGATACCAAACAATGTCATGACAAAATAATTCCCTCCAGCAGCATATTACCTGTTTATATATCGTACATGTTCCAGAATTGACAGAACCGACAAGTAAATATTTGTAAAGTATTTTCTGTTCAATGTTGTGTTTGCTAATTCCACTTTCTCCTTCGCCAGAAGGAGTTAAGGAACTACAAGGAACTGGCAGGGATAGAATTAGAGAAGCAAACTTCACTGTAGGCTGTCAAAAACATGCACATATACCAGAGTCATTTACAAGAGATTTATAGCTTAAGAAAAGCTAAACAACATCAGTTACCTTCTCCCATATATGCCCCTTCACATTCTTCTGTCCCACTTCCATGTATGATCCATCATGGCTCACCCAAAAGTCAGTTGTTCCATCACATGGCACTCTTGCCCACTGCAATCAAACAAAGTGACACTTGAGTTTAACAGTTTCAAAATGTATACTATGAAAGTGCACAGATCAACAACCACCTTCAGTATCCATAGCTCTTCTTTGGTAATCTCTCGACCATTTATAGTTACTTCTGTCTTTCCATTGCTTGCATTTCTCTGCAAGTGGCCCCCAACTTCCAACTGTGGGCTAATAATTTGACATGGTCGTTGACCTTCCTGCAGGATCAAGCAGTACACCATATTTGAGCTTTGCTTGTGAAAAGCATAAAGGGTAAGTTCAAGTTCATTAAGCTTCACTCAGATTGAACTAACAAAAAAGAGTATCAATAAGGTTGGAGTTGATGATCACCTTTCCCCAAAAGCCAGATGCTTTATCATACCAATAGAAACCCGGTTGCAATCCTTTTGGGGGGTTTGAACAGGTCAAAAGCAGCGTGAGCTGATCCCAGTCAAGAGGTTCTCCATTCACAATAACATCTTCTGCTGGTATTTGATTTGTTTCACAAAACATCTCATCCTTCATGATTTGTTTCATTTCTCCCTTAGACAACAAGTACTTGAGCATCCGAGAAGGTTTTCCAAGCCTCCCTCGCTTGTTCTCATCAATTCTGTGACCAATGCAAGTGACACATTTTCTGCCTTCAGGCATGGACCCCATTACTCTAAGCACACAGTTGCGACAAAACTTTGCACTGCAAACAATGCAAACCTCCCTCTCAGTTAGACGACTCCCTTTAAGACATCGATAGCACGAACCCTTCTTCCCAACTCTCTCGGCATGCGGCCTCACACGTTTACTATTGTTGCTACTACTTTCTCCACCTGCAGGTTCAACAATCTCTTCATCCTCCACTATCTCATTTGTCTCAGGATTACGAAAAGTCACCACGGAGGGCCGTTTAACATGTTTTGGGTTTAAAGGGTCGTCGTCATCATCATCATCATGATCCTCCTGTTCGCGAGACAGTGGATCAGAAGAAACAGAAGCAGTTTTTGAAGCCAATTCTGCATTGGTTTTTCTAAAGGGTTGGATAACTGGGAGGGACAAGTTGTGAGGAGGAGAATGAGCAACAGGCGCAAACGGGACGTGGTCAAGGTTGAAAGGAAGAACTTCTGGGACGGAGTAGCCAAGAGGAGGGCCTTTGTATTCCTCAGCAAAAGAGTACTCATAGCTGAAATCACCACCAGCATCATGAACTGAAGGCACACCGGGACGTAGATTTTTCAGAAGCGAAGCCATGTACGGTAATATATCATTCCAGAGTAAAACTTTCAAAAACCAACTGAAACAAACCTTTTCACTCCGATCAAATCAACACAACTTGATGCTGCTTATGCTGTTCCTCCACCGCCACTCATTTTCTGAGACGTAATATCTGAATTAGGAAACAGCTAAGTGAGTGGCAATCGGTAGAGAGTATATGAAGAAGACTTGCGAGGGAAAGAGTGGCACATGTTTTGGTTTATCGAACAACGTATTCAAAACGTTGGAATGGAAATTGCTGAGTAAAGAAATGGACAACAACGACGGCGTGGAACTTTTCAAACTACACCAACAGCTATGGTTCGTGTGTTTAATCCTTAAGTATCTGTTGTCATGTCACCTTTGAATAATTGAAAATCATTTTTATGTATATTAATAACTTCCTTTGAATGAAAATGTAATTTGCTAAAAGAAAGGAACAAGTCAATGGAAATTGACACATGCCCAGTTATATATTTTAAAAGCATAGTCAACAACACCTCCAAAAAATATATATATATCTATGACTGGCTAGTATGATTAAATATACTTAATTATAACGCGTTCTGGTTTTCCATTTCTCTAGAAGGACCGAGTTTTACAGAATTCAGGTAGAACATTCCTCTCAGAATAGATAATAATAAACTTTCTCTTTTGTCTATTTTTTTGACTAAAGTTTAAAAGGTTATCCGAATTTTTTTAATATATCCTTATCTAAACTTGGTTTAATAGAAAGTGGTAAACTTGGTATGAGGTTATACCCATGATTAGCATAGTCTCCACATGCCTTTACAAGATGAGTGTATATATTTTATTTACTCGAGGTTATTGGTAGCGAGTAGTAACAAAATTTGATTGATGATTCATCATCAAACATATACTTCAAAACGATTTGGTGTCAAATTAAGAGAAGAAAAGAAAAACCAAACAGGTGATTTTATTAGAAATATGAAGGAGCAGTGTATATATATATATATATATATATATATATATATATATATATATATATGTACACACACACATAACACACATGATTCTAACTTTGAAAGGAAGAAATAAAGTGAGTTAAGCATTTATTGCTTTCTTCAAGGGCTAAAACATTGAACAAGCATGGAAAGTGAAGCCTCCGAAAAGAGCAACCTTGGCTTGTTAACTTGCATGGGTTTGGCAGCAAGTTCAGCCAACCCAGATGAGTTCTGATCCATTTTCTGGAGGAATTGAGCAGATTCGTGTTGAATGGAAGCAGCATCTTTTTCCCTTAGCTTGGACTGTTCGCTTGTCCATATATCCACCAGTGCAGACATGACTTGAAATGTACCGAATTAGCAGCAAAAACTGAAAATCAATAATCAGAGAGCTGGTATGAAAAATAAGTGACTGAAATTGAGATGACAGCAAAAACAAGAAAGAGACTTCTGGTAATGTTTAGTTTGATGTGAGAAGTATGTTTGAATATATATATATATATATATATATATATATATATATATATATATATAAGGTGAGTGAGGTCATTGGGGTGTTAAGATTTAGATAAAGTGAAGCGTTATTTGGAAACTGTGTTCTTTTTGTGAGTTTGAAACTGAAACGTAAAACAGGAACTAGAATCTTAGATTTCATGTTATTATATACGCATGAAAATCTGATGGCGTGAAACCGTGTTACAGCATGAAAGATAAACAACATGCGTGGCACTTGTGGAAGTGCCACTTGCCTCAGAGCAGGGTACGAGATTCTTCTTTTGGATCTGTGTGCGATTGCTAATTTAAACAATTGGGAAAAAGATCCTCTCCGGTTAAAAAAGAAAAACTGGATCAAATATCTAATATTTTGGTGTAGTTTTACGTGATAGAGGTTTTTGAATTGAGTTATTGAATGTTTAAAATAATATTTTGATTTTTATTTCAACAGTAAAATACTAAAAAATAGAAAAATATTAAATATTTAAAAAATATTTTTCAATAAGAGTTCAATTAAAATTATTCTAATTTATGAAATACTTAAAATTTAATTAAAGTATTTTTATTTGTTTATTTTTTTAATAGGTAAGAAATAGAAGGCATAACGCATCAACGTATTCCTGGAGCCTTTGTTTTTAAGCGAGATAGATGATGAAATTGAAAAGAAAGGTGAGATATTTTTTTTATTATTACTAATTTTATTTATTTATAGTATTATTATGTTTATGATAGCAAAGGGCACCAAAGCAGTCCATAATCTATCATAAATACGTGTAATAACATTCTAAAATATATTTTTTGAAACAATATAATAATTAAACGCGCAACGTAATAAAATTATGTTATATCTTGGTATGGGTAGATTATTTCTTGATTTTACTCTCTTACTAATACTCTGATTAGCAGTGACGTGACTTTCTTTTCTTTTATCATTATCTTCAGGACTTTATTTTCCAATTAAACCCAGGAGAATCGTCCGGTCAACTTCTTGTAAGAGGCAAATGAAGGCTTAGGTATTCAATCCAAGCTCTTACATAACTAGGTTAACTCGTCAACGAGATAAATAAAAATGAGCAGAAGTATTTAAAAAGAAAAAAGAGAGAAAGAAATAGAAATAATTCAAAAAATGGTTAAATTTACTGTTATTGTTTACCTATATGTATATTTTTTTTTATCTTCTATTTTCAAATTACTATTTTAATTTTAATTTATTTCTCAGTTGTGTTTATTAATTTTCGTTTTCACCTACCATATTTTTCTTCGGTATAATACCAGAGAAAAGAGGAAAGTGATAGAATATTGGGATGCATACGAAGGCAACTTTAGGTACATGTATGGGAGTGGATAAAAATGAATAAAAGAGCGGAAATATGACAAATGGAATTGAAAGTTACAAATTTCGTCATAAGCTCCAATCTCCAAGTAAAAACCGCATAAGCTGGTCTTCGTTGCTTCAAACCGATGTGCGCTAGCCAATGAGAAACCAAACACGCTGCAATTACATGAGAGATTAGCAATGCGCAATTGATTACTTGACCTATCAACTGATAAATGATTACACGGATACGTGTAATACATCCTGGACGTGAATTTAGCAATAGTATGATGCTCCAGCCAGAAACAAAACATTCTTTCAGCCTTCAAGAGCTGAGGATCCAAAACGTGCTCCTCAATCAGTATGGCTATGCAAGTTGCAGGAGCTAAAAGCTACACTACACTGTTTAAACCAGGAGGGAGGGAAGGCATCGTAATCCTTGTTCATCTCCCACGAGACCAGCTGTGAGCCTGGGACTTCACTGTGGGATGGTAGATGAAAGTCCACATGTAAGGTGAAAAATAGTAACTCTGCCTCGACAAAAGCTGAAATCAAGAGGACGGCAGAAGCTACACAGTTTGGCCCTGGATAGATCAGTGATTGTGATCAGCGAAATACTTCAACAAATGGTTTGATTAATGGGACCTGCAAAAACTTTGTTCTGGTGGCTTCCTGCATCACCAGGAAAAAATAGCTGGCCTAAGGACCCATTCCTCAGCGTGGTCAACGGAACGAGGCTTGAGGCCGATTCTTGCATAATATTGGGAATGGGACTTAAGATGCTCCAGTCTGAGGAACCTCTTGAAACCTCAGATCCATGGTGTCCAACCTTCGTACATGTTGCATAGATTATCTACACTAGTGGCTTGCTTTAGTAGATAATCTACTTGCTCTGCAATATCAATTTCTCTGCAATCCAAAGAAGGCCCAACATTAATAAAACAATTCAGTAGAAGATTTTGTGATTGCGAAAATATCCTACCTACCTGCTTTCAGAGATATCTCGACCATCAATTTTCATCTCAACCCGCCTCAGTACTGACAAGGCATAAGCATTTTTACCTAGCATAAAGTTCAAATATCCACAGATGAAGAAGAGCATGTCAATTCCTTTACATGCAATCACATAAGAAATTATGATGTCTGAACGACATAGTAATAATGAGGTACTAGTAGGCGTAGAAGATTACTTGGTGGTTTTATTACTGTTTCTTATTTTTTGTTTTTTCAAAAAATACAGTTCATGAATATCATTGGATATCAAAATGCAATCTCCATAACTTGTTCCATAGTCAAATTAAAACATTTTAGATAATTTTAACTGTGATCAAGACAAGATCTGGACACTAAGTCAGTCTCTTCTAAAACGAGCAAGGAAATGAAAGGAAAAACAGATCATAAAATCACACTTTCTCCTTACTTTTTACATTTAAAAGCAAAACTCAAAGTAAGATCAAACTAAAGAAAAAGAAACTGTCTACTCAACGGCTCATTACAACTCCTTGCCAACTTAATTTTGCCCCACAAAATAATTGTGTAATCATTATACAGAAGGCAACCAGAGTCCATTTATATCATTTAGGACAGTGGGTTTTCTTTTTTATTAGAAATGGGTAACATTAATTTTGTAAGGTTCATATTCTTTCATGTGTTTATTTATTGAACACCACTAGAGAGGGTTACAAATTTTAATGAAAAACTGGTTATTTATTCTACTGATATGGGATTAATAAATTAAATAAGCAGTGATACAAAAAAATAATATATAAAGATTTTGTACATACCCCTTCCAACACGAGTATTGGCATTTACGTTCAGATCACGAGCATCACGGTGTTCTGTAGCATTTTTAATTTCTTTTGCAGAAAGGGGCTCATCTGCTGAATCAAATTTGTCTATGTTCTCATTTGTTGGATTTTGGGAGTTAGCAGGGATGGCAGCAGTTTTATCACCTAGTACAACTATTGCTTCAGAATGTTCAGTGGCCTCATTGATTGATTTCACAGAACCAGAACCATTAAGATCAGTTTCTACAGGAGAAGATTGTGACAGCCCAAAGGGTGAGATTTCTTCTACTTCAGTTTGAGAGAATAGAGCAGTATGCATATGACCTGTGGGGTTTCTACTACTAGACCCCTGTGAAAGCAGGTCTTTATTTCCTGCTGAATCATTCAAGCTATCAGGAAGACTAACTTCGGTTGCTGTCATGTCAGATCCAGAGTCAGTACAGCAGATGCTATCTGGGGGTGATATCCATCCTTTGTCTTCCAAACTAAGTCGAGAAAAGCCAATGAAATCATCAGTTTTATCATCTTCAGACCTAGAGAGACCCACCCCCTCTTTACCATCAAACTCAACAGCATCACCACCCCCACCATCTGATCTTGACAAAGTAGTAGTCACTGATTTTACTTCCTGACTTTCTCCTATTCCTTCAAGCGCCTGAAAACAGAGAATATGGATCTTTCAAACTACAAAAAGAAAAATCCGTGGCCAGTCCAAAGATTTGACTGAAGTAGTGGTTGTTTTTATATACAGATGTATAAACACACACGCATATAGATCAAGGTTATCAATGGCTGAATATGGTTAAAGGACAAAGTTCCGCCATATGATATGTATATATATACATATATATATATATAT